CCCTGGCAGTGTTGAAGGGCAGGTTGGATGGGGCTTGGAGCAGCCTGGGCTGCTGGGAGGTGTTCCTGCCCATGCAGGGGGGTTGGAACTGGATGATCTTGAAGGTCCCTTCCAATCCAAACCATTCTATGATTCTATGACATCACCTGTTCCTTGGTGCTGAGGTGACTCGTGGTGCCAGAGAGCTATGGGACAGGTCCTGGAGTCCCTCCAGCTCTGGTCAGGTTTTCCCAAACAAGTAGCTATTTTCTGCCTCGCCCTCTCACCTTCCTGCTCATGACAGGACAAGGTTTGAAGATGCAAGGCCTGGCCTTGGCCCGGGCCCTCAGCCCCCTCTGGTCTCTCTTGCAGTGGAAGATTGATGACAAACCAGTAAAGATTGACAAATGGGACGGGTCAGCGGTGAAAAATTCCTTGGATGATTCTGCCAAAAAGGTACATTCTGCAACTCCTGGTGACTCCCTCTTGGAAAACTCTCTCACTTCTACCTCTGGTTTAAAACTTGTCAACTCTTTTTGGTTTGATGGTGAAGGGCCAGGCTGCTTTTGTAGCATCTCTTGCTTTTGCCTTGGCCAAAGCAGCATTTGTGCTTAGAATATCAGTAATGATGCTGGTGTCTGAGGCAGGCATGAGTCCTGCAGCAGGTTTCTGTTCAATTTGCATGCAAAATCAAGACTGTTTTGAACTAAATACTCTGCTCTTTTGAGATCCCACCTGGAGTCCTGTATTTAGTTCTGGAACCCAAACATTAAAAGGACATGGAGCTCCTGAAGGGAGTCCAGAGGAGGCCCTGGAGATGATCCAAGGGCTGGAGCAGCTCTGCTCTGGAGCCAGGCTGGGAGAGTTGGGGTGTTCAGCCTGGAGAAGAGAAGGCTCCAGGGAGACCTGGGGGCCCCTACCAGTGCCTGAAGGGGCTGCAGGAAAGCTGGGGAGGGGCTTGGGACAAGGGCAGGGAGGGATGGGAGCAGGGGGAAGGGTTTCCAGCTGGCAGAGGGAGCTGGAGCTGAGATGGGAGGGAGAAATTCTGTGGTGTGAGGGTGGGGAGAGCCTGGCCCAGGTTGCCCAGGGAAGCTGTGGCTGCCCCATCCCTGGCAGTGTTGAAGGGCAGGTTGGATGGGGCTTGGAGCAGCCTGGGCTGCTGGGAGGTGTCCCTGCCCATGCAGGGGGTTGGAACTAGGTGATCTTGAAGGTCCCTTCCAACCCAAAGCATTCTGTGATTCTATGACACAAGGATGAAATCCTTCCCAGAAGCAGTTTGTCAAATGTCTGAAAAGCACAAGACAATCTGAACTGTGTGTTTCTCCCACAGGTTCTCCTGGAAAAATACAAATATGTGGAAAATTTCCACTTGATCGACGGCCGCCTCCTCATCTGCACCATCTCCTGCCTCTTTGCCATCGTGGCTCTGATTTGGGATTACCTCCACCCCTTCCCCGAGTCCAAACCTGTGCTTGCCTTTTGTGTTGTGTCATATCCTTTCCATATGTCACCTCATTGATCCCCAAAGGGTTTTTATTTTCCCCACGAAGCACAAAAAAGCCCTTCTCTGGATTCCCATTTTTAGGCCTGTGGGGATGTTGCTGCCCAGGCTGTGGGGATCAGCTGAGAATCAAACAGTTGTCATGTGATGGTAAAATTCCTGCCTGTCTGGCTGTAACACACCTCAGTGAGGGAGAGCCAGGCTACAGTTCTGATTGATTCTCAGCAGAAACCATGAGATAATGAATCTTGCAGCACTTTAAAATGATTTAATTCCAAATAGAATTAAGATTAATGGCTGGGACTGTGCTTGGGAGGAACACACAGCAATTCATCCCATGACTTGTTTGGTCTCATGTTTTCCCAACAGATACTGCTCCAATTATTTAGCAAATTAATTGAAAACTGTGCTTAATGGTTGTGATTTATTTATTTTTTTTAAATTTACTTCATGGTTTCACAAATGAACCTTTTATGTGGCTGGAAAAAGCCCTTTCAGAATAACACGTTTAGGGAGTCATCTCTTCTCCTCCCACTTCCTGGCATTGATTAATGCTTTTGTGTGACAGCAAAGATGTCAGAAAGAGGCCCAATAATTATTTTCATTTCTCATGCTAACGAGGCAACAGCCAAGGAACCTGTTTGGGAAGATCCTGAAGAGGTGGTTAAATGTCAGTGTCTGAGGGCACCCCAGGAACTTCTCTGCCTCATTTCTACTTCTCATTGTGACACCTTCCTTTCCTTAACCCTCTCTGCACATATTTTGTGATGATGGGAATCCTGACCATCTACACCTCCTACAAAGAGAAGAGCATTTTCCTGGTAGCTCACAGGAAAGACCCAGCAGGGATGGATCCTGATGATGTTTGGCAGCTCTCCTCCAGCCTCAAACGGTACCTCAGCCTGGAGTGGTCCCAGAGGGGCTTTCCTGGCTGCCCTCCCCTGCCTGGAGCTGCCACACAACCCACAGTGGGGTGGAAAAGCTGCATTTTTTATAAATCAGCAACAAAATGGAGGGTTGGGAATGTTGGGGTCTGCAGAAGATGGGCTGCTTGGCCCTCAGCTTTTGAGGCTTCCCAGGCAGCTCATGATTGGTAGAATCAATCATGAAATGGTTTGGATTGGAAGGGACCTTTAAAGGTGATGTAGTCCAGCCCCCTTGCAGTGAGCAGGGACATCATAAGTTCCACTTCAACATGAGGAAAGACTTCTTTCCTGTGAGGGTGGCAGAGCCCTGGGACAGGCTGCCCAGAGAGGTGGTGGAGTCTCCTTCTCTGGAGACTTTCAAGAACCATCTGGAGGTTCCTGTGGGATCTGCCCCAGGTGTTCCTGCTGCAGAGGGGGGTTGGACTCGATGGGAGGTCAATTCCAACTCCTGTGATTCTGTGTTCTTCAACTCAATGAGGTTGCTCAAAGCTTTGTCCAGCCTGGCCTGGAATGTCTCCAGGGATGGGGCCTCCACCACCTCTCTGGGCAACCTGTTCCAGAGCTTCACAACCCTCAGTGTAAAGAACTTCCTAATGTCCAATCTGAATCTCCCCTGCTCTAGTTTAAGGCCATTCCCCCTCATCCCATCCCTCCCTGCCCTTGTCCCAAGCCCCTCCCCAGCTTTCCTGGAGCCCCTTCAGGCACTGGAAGCTGCTCTCAGGTCTCCCTGGAACCTTCTCTCCTCCAGGCTGAACACCCCAACTCTCCCAGCCTGTCTCTAGACCAGAGCTGCTCCAGCCCTGGGATCATGTTTCCCATTCAGCATAAAATATTATTCCTCAGAAGTAACAATGATCTGTGATGGGGTCACTGCTCTCACCTGCTCCATTTCCATCCCAGTCTCTCCCTGGGATCACCCTGAACATTTTCCTTTATACCTAAAAACCTGTTTTCCTCCATCAAAATCAACATCCCATCTGAAATGGGAGAGGTGGCAAGAGCTTCTCTGCCCCAAATGTTCACATTCTGCTTCTCTCTAAATGGGGGGATGTGGAATTAAATCATTAAAGGGTATCACAATATTTTAATTGTCTGATAATCCACATGTTTTCCTGCCCATGTGGGGACCTCCACCCTGGGTGGTTGGTTTGTTTGGAGTTTATGTTGCCCTTTTCATGAAGGTGAGGGTTTCTCATCAGCTCCTTGTTGGTGTCTTGGCTCAGCCAAGGGCTTCCAAGTCCTGAATTCCCTCTCCCTCCCGCAGGTTTGACGACAAGTACACCCTGAAGTTGACGTTCATCAGCGGCAAAACCAAACAGCAGAGGGAGGCAGAGTTCACCAAATCCATCGCCAAATTCTTCGACAACAACGGGACGTTGGTCATGGAGGCCTACGAGCCCGAGGTGTCCAAGCTGCACGACAGCCTGGCCCTGGAGAGGAAAATCAAGTGATCTCTGACACCCCCAGCTCCCTGGGAACGGCCGGAATTAACACCAATAAAGGCAATTAACGCAGGGAATCAAGTCAGTCGTTGCTTGTGATGTTGTCCTGAAGTCCTGGTACCTTGGGGGGATGAGCAGGGGTTTGAATCTTGGATCCAAGGGGGGGTTTTTTTGGAATTCCTTGGTCTCTGTGTCAGCCTTGCTGGCTCTGTCCCCTCTAGGGGTGACCCTGGAGGGGGGGCTTGCCCGTGGGGACCCTCGGGAGGGGACAGTGTCACCTCCCCTGTCCCCTTGTTCCCCAGCAAACACCTTCTTTTTGGGGGGAAGGTTCAGAACAAAACCCACCCCCCCGTGAAACAACCCACGCGTTTATGTTTGTGTGTCATTGGGGGGGGGGGATTGTTTGAAACCCAAACCTTGGACGCGTTGGGATGGGAGGAGGAGCCAAATCTGCAAATCCCTGAGGTTGGGTTTGTCCAACGAGGTGGAAAAAAGGGGATGGGAAGAGGTTTGAGGGGTTTCCCGAGCTGGGGTGTCCTGCTGGTTCCTCCGGACACCCCCTCACCTTCCCAAAAAACCTGGCATTTTCTATAAAAACCCCCAAACCAACCAAGCCCGGGTTGTTTTCTGGGTCGGGGCGGAGCTTGGGGTTGGTTTTTTTCCAATAAAAGCGACATGACGTGGGGCGCGTTTTGGGGAGGGATTAAGGCAAAAAGGGGGGGGCGGGATTCCCGGTCATATCCCAACCTC